CAGCCTACAATAGAGTCCTACTGTGCTTTCTCTGACACTGGGACATCATTGGTTGGTCCCAATGACTGCTGATGCACTTAAATATATGTATTTCAATAAGACTGAACATTACTCCCTTGGCTGCACTTGTGTGCAATATAGCTAGCATAAGTACAGTCCCAACTGTCCTGTAAGGACCCAAAAACTGTTTGAGAAAACCCTGAAGGATGTATTGATCAAATGTATACTTTTGAAATTCCTAAAAAGTCAGTGTCAGGAATACAATCAAAACTAATTTGGGGGAGTCTGGCTCTATTTTTTGAACATCAGCCTTTGGTGTACAGTTTTAGGGGAGCTAAAGATGTGTGAGAAAGTGGAAATTTGTGACTTTTAAATTAAATAGTCAGTCAGGAAGAGGATTTCTAGTGTCTTTACACTAAACTTGAGATGAAGAAATCTTCTTCATCAACTTGCTGAGTGCTCAAAGAGTGATTGTTCCAATAAATAGAATGACTCTGGAGCTATATACAACAACATTTAAAGCTGAGTCCCCACATACAACTGTTGCAATTTGATGGAAGTATAGTCTCTTTTCATCTCTTCTCATCTACTGGGACTAAGTAAACACTGCTTCTCAAGAATTTATAAAAGAACCATTCACCAGACAACTTAGGCTTGAGATAAATAGACCCTCTAGATCATCATGAGTCTCCTACTGCTTTTTCCCAAAACCTACAAATGGACCCACTGATGATGACAACTGGAGAGAGGAGGCAGAAACAGAGGGAGGAGGAGTAGGTGTCTACTTGATTCCTGTTTTTTTTTGTTTTGTTTTGTTTTGTTTTTTGGTTTTTTGGTTTTTTTGTTTGTTTGTTTGTTTACGGGACAGGGTTTCTTTGTTTTGGAGGCTGTCGGTTCAGCCTGGCCTCGAACTCACGGAGATCCGCCTGCCTCTGCCTCCTGAGTGCTGGAATTAAAGGCGTGCACCACCAACACCCGGCGATTCCTGTTTTTGAGAGAGGCTGAAATTGGGAACCTGTATTCAGACCCAGGCAGCTTCAGCCTTTTTCAGTCCTATAATATGTCACATGAGTCTCCACCAACTGCCTCCTACACAGACACAGATTCACACACACACACACACACACACACACACACACAACACAACTCACACACACCACAGACACACACACACACACACACACACACACACACAACACAGCACCACAGACGCACGTACACACAGTTTCCTCCTCTTCCCTGCCTGCTCAAAATGACACTGTTGACAGCTCACAGTTCACAGTCCCATCATTCATTTAGTTAATGACACAATAAGAAGAGGGTGGAGCTACTCCTTCATTTTCTCACAGCAGAGGGCTCAGTGCTGCTTGTCACTAACTCATAAACCCTGCCTTTAGCAATAAACAAACGATCTTTCAGGAAAATTCCAGACTCTATATGTTCATAACCAAGAGTCTCCCTATACAATATAGAATAAAACTGATTAATAATAATAATAATATTAACAAATTAGGGAAAGATAACTTGAAAGTGGTCCTTCCACTTTTTTTAGGGAAGCCAGAATCTTTGATGCTCAAGTAACAGAACTCCAAATAGAATTACACAGATTTCAATTGAGGGGGGAAAATGTTTAGACCATTGAAGTTTCATGCCAAAAGCATCAAAATGAACCATGGTTAGTTTTTTTCTGTTATAAATATTCTAAGTGTCATGACTTAATAGGTTTTCTTTTCCAATGTTGCTATCTAGAGAAAAAACACTAAATGATTTTCTATGGGGTAGTTTAATTATCAAATTAACCACAATATTCAGAATGTGGACAACAATCTATTTCAGATGCTACAACAACAAAGAAACACTTCTGATTGTATCCTAGGAGCTTAGGAAGGCAAGATAAATAGCCTGAGCCTTGAAACAAAAAAAAAAGAAAGTAACAGGGTGATTTAATGGAGATGGAAAACTACACCAGAGTCAAAGAACTTATTTTCCTTGGCCTGACCCAGAGTCAAGAAGTGAGTGTGTTGCTGTTTCTTTTCCTTCTCCTGGTGTATGTGACAACTCTACTGGGAAACCTTCTCATCATGGTCACCGTGACCTGTGAGTCTCGCCTTCACACCCCCATGTATTTCTTGCTCAGGAATTTGTCTATTGCTGACATCTGCTTTTCCTCCATCACTGCACCCAAGGTCCTTGTGGACCTTCTCTCACACAGAAAGACCATCTCTTTCAATGGCTGTCTCGCTCAGATGTTTTTCTTTCACCTTATTGGAGGAGTGGATGTGTTTTCTCTCTCAGTGATGGCTTTAGATCGATATGTGGCCATCTCTAAGCCCCTGCACTATGTGACCATCATGAGCAGAGGCCGTTGCATTGGGTTAATAGTGGCCTCCTGGGCAGGAGGCTTTGTCCACTCCATCGTGCAGATCTCTCTCTTGCTGACACTTCCGTTTTGTGGACCCAATGTTCTTGACACTTTCTACTGTGATGTCCCCCAGGTTCTCAAACTTGCATGCACAGACATCTTTGTTTTGGAGATGCTGATGATTTCCAATAATGGGATGCTCACCACGCTGTGGTTTTTCTTGCTCCTGGTGTCCTACATGGTCATATTATTATTGCTGAGGTCTCAGTCAGGAGAGGGCAGGACAAAAGCCTTCTCCACCTGCACCTCACACATCACTGTGGTCACCCTGCACTTTGTGCCCTGTATCTACGTCTATGCCAGACCATTCACTGCCCTCCCCACAGATAAAGCCATCTCTGTGACCTTCACAGTCATCTCCCCTCTGCTCAACCCCTTGATCTACACTCTGAGAAACCAGGAGATGAAGTCAGCCATGAGGAGACTCAGGAAAAGACTTGGCCCTTCTGATGGAATAGAGAAGTAGCTTCTGCCTGTTGCCACTTTAAATGTTCAGGCATAAATAAGCTCTATTTTCTATGCTGCCTACTCATTTCTCTTATTCTGATATATTAAGACACCAAAAAAATTATCAAGTTGATAGGTATAATTCTCCTTTACATTTTCAGTGTTTGGAATCATGCCTAAACCACTGAAGTAAATCTTGCTGAAATCTGTAGGATTGAAGGATAAAAGCAAATGGTGAATGTGATTGCAAAGTCTATTAGTCTTTAGCATTCATTTCTTTCTTTTTGGTTTTATTTTTGACATAGGACCTCATTGTGTGGCCCAGGCTAGCCTGATACTATGTGACCCAGGGTATCTTCAAAACATCAACCTTCTTGTACTTGCTACCAAGTGCTAATGTTGCAGGTGTGTGCCAAAACACCAATATTGTTTCAATCACTTAACTCCAACTTTGTGTTTGTGTGCCAATGAGTCTTTATTTATAGACACTAAAAAATCTGAACTTCTCAGAACTTTCATGCATCAATTTTAGTTTTTGAACAGACATTTCTTCAGTGAAACCAAAAGAACTAGAATTGATTAATCAAAGTGTGTTGCAATTTTTCCCTTCCTGAGTATCATTGTGCATCTTTATGATGTTACAGTCAAAAGATTGGCTCAAAAACTTTGTTAGAACTCAGTTACAGCCCAAAGCAAGTTAATACTTCTCAAAACTCATTTGTTCCAATTTCTTTTTATGAAAAATATATTTTTAATAAATGAAAAAAGATTTTAAAGAAGAAAGGATATTTCCAATCCTCCTTTGGTTGAGCCTGTGAATGCAGATAGGAAGGGTCAATCACGGAGTCACACCCCGAGTTGCTGGAGGATGAGGCTGTATCATGTGACTCTGAGAGGTACAGCTCAGCTCACAACAAGTAGTCATGTAGGGTGTCTCAGAATGAGGTCACACTATCAATCCCCACCAGGAACTTAGAAGTGGTGGAGTCGTCCATCCATAAGCACCAAGTTGGAGCTAGGAGGTGCAATTGCTGCCCAGCGTGGCTTGTCCTTCCAGTGTAGTCACAGTTAAAGGACGTCTGGCATCATCACAGTGACCCACTCTAACTAGTTCAAACATAATTCAGTCCTGCAGTATCTGGTTCCTGGCATGAACAAGCTTCCAAATGCCAAAGGAAGAAACGTGGCAAGAACTGACAATCTTGTTAAGTCTTTAGTCTTTCCTGTTACTGTGATAGCATGCCCAACAACGCAATACATAGGAGAGGGGTTTTATTTTTACTCACAACTCCACACTAGATAATTTCTTTTTTTAATGTATTTTCCCCTCCTCCCATGCCCTCCCACTAACCTCCCCATCCTCCCTCCCCAAATCCACACTACTTTGCCCTGGGAGGCCTCCCTGGGGGGTATCCATAGTCTGTCATTTCATCAGGGCAGGTGCTAGGCATAAAAAATGACTTCATGGTGCAACTCAAGAATTTGGAAAAACAACAAACCAAACCCAAATCCAACAGATTGTAAGAGATAATAAAAAACAATCAAAGCAGAAATTAATGAAATGGAAACAAAGAAAACAATACAAAAAATGAGTCTAAGAGCTGGTTCTTTTAGAAGATAAACAAGATCAACCGACTTTTGACCCAAGCAAACAAAACAAAGAGAGGACTCAAATTATCATTACAACAGACACCAAAGAAATTCAGAATATTGTAGAGATTTACTGTACTCCATTAAGTAGAAAATTTAAACAAAATGGATAAATTTCTAGATTCATCCGAACCATTAAAGTTAAACCAAGAAGAGATCAACAACCTAAGCAGACCCATAAAAAAAGAGGAGATTGAAACCCTAATAGAAGCTTCCCGACTTAATAAAAATCTAGACCCACGTAGATTCACAACAGAATTATACTGGACTTTCAAAAAAGACCTACAACTAATATTTCTTATTCAGAAAATTTCATTTTAATGAATGGTTATTTGAAATTTGAATATCTGTAACTTTTATAACCCCAGTTCTAAGAGATTGCACTCTCCCTCTGTCCTCCATACATACCAAGCACATAGGAAAAACACATGAAACAAAAATGCATAAATCTTTTCCTAAAAAGAATAACAGCTGTCCGTCCGGGTCTCTGCCTCCGGGACCTGCGGCGGTGGTGAGGTCCAGAGCACGGCTTCCCCGCGGGCGGGCGGCGTGATGGGTTGCGGGAACTCCACTGCCACCAGCGGGGGCGCGGGCCGAGGTGCAACAGGAGCAGTTAAAGATGCGACGGAAGACTCCATAACAGACGACGACAAGAGGAGAAACTATGGAGGAGTGTATGTTGGCCTGCCCTCTGAAGCTGCCAATATGGTGTCTAGTCAAGCAAAGGCAGTACGAAAGAATTAGAGGAAGATAATGCAATGTCTGGATACCCAAGAGCTTGCTCATGAATTTGGAAGGAATTTGGCTCCAGGAACCTTGTGTCTTCAAACTAATTCTGAAAGGTTGTCCCCTGCTGTGCCACCACTCCCAAATCCTAACTGTGTAGTCAAAGCCATGGGTACATACTGAATGTTGTGGCCACTGAAGGAAATGGGTGAGACTTCGTGCTCACTGGGGGGACTGTGTGTGCCCACCAGTGAGAGAGCCCTGAAGGCTGCTGCTACCCAGCCTGGGCCACCAGGATTCATAGCAGTTTCCATCCTGGCCATTCAACACAGTTCACAAAATTCATGTCTTTTCACTGACACTCTTTTGATAGTTTTTATATAATGCAATCCTTGTATTTATAACATGACATTAGGGACATATAAAGGAATTACCTGAAGTAATTGCCTCTTGTCCCTTGATGTTTCTACTTCGTTATTTTGTAGCTGTAAAGTTGGTAAATGGAGTCCTACACTTAGCTCCCTTTCTTACTACTTGGTTTAAAATTTTTATTTAAATGTAAGGGAATTCCCTCTGTTGAGAGCACTGCAGTATTTGAAAATGAACTGTTTAAATTTGCATGCTGTCCTCACATGGGTATTAATTCCTGTTCTCTTTAGTCAGAGGCTTACATGGCCACAGATTCTCCAGCTGCCCAGCTGCCTGTTCTCCTTGCGTGTAACCAGCATTTCATCGTGTTCATTCCGTACTGTCTCTTAGGGCTGGCAGGTGAGGCTTGGCAGGATGGCTACCTGGAAAGTTCTTAATTTGCTAACAACATGTATACCTACTTATGACTGCGGTGTAAGTGGCTCAGTTCACCAATGTATTTCCGCAATTAAACATTTTTATCCCCCTTAAAAAAAAAGAATAACAGCTTTAAAATATCAATATCTACATTTTTAATATGCAAAGGTTACTGAAGGAATATATTTTAAATACCAAAATATAAAATTAGTAAGAATTAAACATTATTAATTAATTTGAATATGAATCATATAAATGATTTTTTAAAAGTCAACATAGTATTATATTTTTTTACATCTTTTTTTATTTAAATTGGAAGCAAGCTTGCTTCACATGTCAATCCGGGCTCTGTCTCTCTCCCCCTCCTCTCCCACCCCCTACCAGCCTCCCTAACCCCCCAACCCTATCCCCCTTTTGCTCCCCAGGGAAGGTGAGGGCCTCTATGGGCAATCTCCAAAGTCTGTCATATCATCCGGGACAGGGCCTAGGCCTTCCCCCCCATGTGTCCAGGCTAAGAGAGCATCCGTCCATGTGGAATGGGCTCCCAAAGTCCATTCGTAAACTAGGGATAAATACAGATCCACTGCCAGAGGCCCCATAGATTGCCAAGGCCTCCTCATTGACACCCATGTTCTGGGGTTATGGATCAGTCCCATGCTGGCCTCTCAGCCATTGGTCTAAATAGCAGCATTGGGAAGTTTGAGAACTACCTGCTGATGAAAATTTGCATATAATACGAAGTAAACAAACAGTAATTTTTAACTTCACATAAGCTCTATATTCAAGTCTTGCAGAGGAGTTATCTCAGGATAAAGAGAGGATACACTAGAAATGTTCTTGATCTTGGGATAGCCTTCTTTTTCCTGTTGTTTTGTTGTCATTGTTGTTTTTACTTTTTGAGACAAGGTGTCATGTGAGCCAAGCTGGCCTCTCACTCATTAGGTAGTTCAGTATGATGACCTTAAACCTCTGGCCCTCCTGCCTCCCAGGCACTGGGATTACAGGTGTACACCACCACACCTAGTCTATACACCCCTACATTCAGTTTATGGAGTGTTGGGCACTGAACCCAGGTCCTCATGCAAGCAAGGTAGGTCTCTATCAACACAGCTACATCTACAGTCCCTGTTACAGTTATTCCTTTTCAGATCTAGAACTAAACTGTGTTCATAAAAGAAACCCAAGTGCTGAGGTTTAGCTCAGTCATAGAGCACTTGCCCAGCATGTGTGAAGCCCCCAGTTTTACCACCCGCAGCAACCAATAAATAATAATAATGTACAAATCAATCTCTACAGAGCATATTCTCAACCTTGCCCCCTTCTGCTGTCTGAACGCTATCTGTGACGCAGAACACATCAGCCCTCTTCTCTAATACCCAGTGTCTCTTCGTGTACTCGAAGATGAAGAACCCTGCACTGAAAGTCCATTTAATGGCTCGAAGAAAAATGACCCCCCATAGGCTCATATGCTAGAATTCTTGGTCCCCCAGTTGGTGAAAGGACTTAGGGAGGGATTAGGAGGTGTTACCTAGTGGAGGAGGCATGTCACTAGAGGTGAGCTTTGCAGCTGGTTTCAAATGCCTCCACCATTCCCAGATATCTCTCTGCCTCGTGCTTGTGGATCAAGCACCCTTAACTGCTGCTGTCACGCCATGCCTGTCAGCCTGCTGCCTCCCCACCATGATGACCATGGACTCTAACCCTCTGAAATTGGAAGTCACCAGGTAAATCTTCTGTGAGTTGCCATGGGCATGGTGTCATATCAAAACAATACAGAAGCAACTTAACACAGTTCACATGGTTGTACCTTGTTGCTGCCATACCGTCTTTCTATGTATTCTTCCCACACAAACCCCACCTCAGTCAGAGTGGTCACATTCCTACCAAGTGTCACCATTCCTTTACTACACTTTTAGGGACAATAGCTTACTACTAAGTTACCTTCTATCCTTACTCTGGTCTATTCTTCTCTATAATGCTTTGTATCTTCAGAAATACCCCCAGAATCATATGTATTTTAGCAGATACTTGTATCTTCACACTGGAATGTCAGTGGCATGAAAGCAAGGCTATCTGACTCACTGTCTCATATCTGGCATCTAGAGGTATATAAAAATAGTAGTCAATGCATTTTGCTTTTTAGTGAAAACTAGATTTTATACATTCTGCATGGTTTTGCTGCCATGACTTCTTCACCATGGTAGATCCTTTCCTCAAAATGTGAGACAAAGCAAACCCTTCCTTCTTTAAGCTGCTTTTTTCAGGTTTTGGTGTAGCAATGGGACAAGCAGGTTGAGAGTTTCTACACTTTGTGAAATTGTTACTCAGCTTTTGGACTGTTTTTGTGTTATCTCTACCCTGTATTTTTCCTGTTCCTCTTTTTAATCTATTTCTTTTTCATTTGAATGTAGTATATGACTAATGCTCTATTTTCATTTCCATTGCTATAACTAGTCTGACACACTTAGAAGAAACAGGGTTTATTTCAGCATAAAATTCCAGGTTACAGTTCACAATTTTGAGGAAGTTGAACTGGGAACTTCAAACAGCTTGTCATATCACTCCCACATCTAAGAGCAGAGAGAAATTAAAACATGCCTGCTCACTTGCTTGCTTACCTGTGCTCGTCTCAAATTCCCCCACTCTTTTGCAAGTCAGGACTCCCTGACTAGTGCATGGTACCACCCACAGTGAGCTGGGTCTTCCCACATTAATTAACTTTATAAGACAGTCCCCCACAGACATACCCAAAGGCCAACCCAATATAGCCAACTCTTCATTGAGAGCATTTTCCTAGGTGATTTATATTGTGCCAAATTAACAATTAGAACTAATACACTCTACCATTTGTTGGTTTGACACACAAACACATCACTTTTGAACAATAACCTTTAACCGCTTATTCCCACAGTCTCAGAGGTTTTTTCATAATGCAAAATATAGTCCAACCTTAAAAAGTCAAATTTTCTCTAAAGTTCCAAGTTGCTTAACTGTGGGATCCTATAAAATTTTAAAAACTTATATAATTCTAACGTATGATGGCAGAGTAATATTCTTATTTCAAAAGGGAAGAATTGAAACATCACAAGGAACAATGACAGCAAAACAAAATCTAGCAGGGCAAATACCAAGTCCTATAACTCAGTGCCCAGAACCTGAGATTTGTTTCCTGGGCTCCAAGTATCTTGTATTATTCCAGAAAAGTATGGGACATTTCATGTCACTGGTCTTCTTCAGTACCAGCATGATCAACACCCAGGTTCTTAGCCAAAGTATCGTGAGAACAGCCCTTTTCTCTGTTCCTGATAGACTCTGCATTGCTTTCTAAAAACCCATGAACCATAAATGAACTGTCCACATACATATCATGATTCTTATATTTCAAGATCCTGCTAAAATGGCCCATTAAATGTGGTTTCCAATATTCACTGGATTTTTCCACATCAACACATCAAATACTTTCACATTCTTCCTGCAAATATAGTCCAAACTGGGGAGATGATGAATTATTAAGAGCACATACTGCTCTTCCAGATGAGCTGGGTTTGATTCCCAGCATGACACAACCTTATCTGATAGGAACAGCCAAAGTCATAAAGTCAACACAGTTGCTTGACAAAGATCCAGCAAAGCTGAGCAATATGATGGTTGCTGTGTCACTTTTGGTTTTGATCTCCACATATTGCATGCTTGTGGGGTTTTTGATATTTGTACAACATTTCTTATGAATCATTTATGCCTTCTTCTAAGCTTACCCAAGAAAGTCCTGAGCATAGCACTCCACCAGTTTTGGGGAGATATCCTTATCTACTTTAAGGTCTTCCTTACCCTTTCATTATTATTCTGCACAGTAATAGAGTTAGTAATGAGAAAACGAGTGTAGCTCCCTCAATCTTCCTGGGGTCGGTCCTGGAATCCAGAGGACCTGCCCACACAGGAAAGGCTTCAGTCCTTCCAGACCCCAACCTCCGGCGACCCGAACTTCAGGTGAGCTTGGGTCCCCCTGGGACCACCCGCACATTGCCAGCCCATCACCCATCCCATCAATCTTCTGGGGGCCTGCTCATGGCATCCAAAGGACCCGAGAACACAGGAAAGGCATCAGTCATTCCAGACACCATCCTCCGGCGTCACCAGCTTCAGGAAAGTCATCAGTCCTTCCAGAACCCACCTACCGGTGTCCCCAGCTTCAGCGTCAGGAAAGAAGGACACCAGTGGAGACAGAAATACAC